TCAACAATTAGATTGTTGTTTTTATATATTTTACCACGTGACAATTAGCATCACATGATTACGACGCCAATCACTACTGCAGCCGATTGATTGCCTTGAAAATCACGTTATGGGACATAGAAATCGAACCGGGGGATCCCCAGATTTCCGGGTCGTAATGGCCGGAATGCGTCGTGGTTAGGGTCGGGGTTAGAGCCGAGTTAGGGTTAGCGGGATCTATAGGCTATAGTAAAATTATCAGCTGGGCACTTTTCACTTAATGAACGACTATTTTTTCATTACTAAAATTCTTAGTGATCTTGGGCCAAAATCGATCAACTCCGGCCCTTCCGGCAAGAGTTCCGAAGCGTCCGATCCGGAATTTTTGGGATCTCCCGCTTATACCTCTATATGCAGCTACAAAAGTTTAATTTTCAGGACTGCAATTTGGGATTATAATCTTTCGGGATTATGACCTCAGAATTTTATTTTTCGGGATTATGAATTTTCGGGATTTTTTTTTCCAGGATTTAGTTTTCGGGATATTGCCTCTTCGGGATTTTGTTCTTTCGGGATTTAGTACATCGGGATTTAGTACCATCAGGATTTAGTACCATCAGGATTTCGATGTTTGGACCGATTTTATTTTTTATATACACAACCGGCTTAACCCAAAATAAAACAGGAATTTTCTATTATGCATTTCCGGGTCATAGCTTTATAAAAATAACCCTTTAATTTTATAATTTAAAAAATTTTAAATTTTTTAAATAAAAGCCCAGGCGGACGGGTCATTTTTTTTTGTTTTATGTTATGAGAACCAAAAAATTAACTTTATATGGCCTTAATTAGCATTAGTAAGAAAATAATATTAATATTACTGTATTAAGATCTTACAAATTTAGCTATAGCTTAAACTAGCTTAAGCCATAGCTAAACTAACTTGAGTTGTGGCTTAAACTTTAGCTTAAGCCATGGTTTATATTATGTCTTGGCTATAAGCCAAGCTACAGTATATTTTAATAGCCATAGCTTAGATTATGGCTGCTAAAACTATGGCTTAAGCTTTGGCTATAACTTCAGGAGCCAAGCTAGTCAAGCCAATTACATCTAGTGCTGCAGTAGCACATTATTATGTAGCTATAGTAATAATGATTTTTTAAAGCAATATAGTATTTAAAGAAGCTAGTTAAGTGTTAATAGTTCTAAAAATCTTTAATGGGCTGAAATTGATCTACAAAACTCTTCGTCATATAATGTCAAGTTTTCACATAATATTTCAATAATGTATCTTCAGAATTTAAGCAATTGAACATCAATTAATTATTAATAATTTCTCATTTAAATTTTTATTTATATGATTTAAGGTTTTCCCAAGCACATAAAATAATAGATCGAGCTCAATTTTTAATTAATGGAAAGTAGTTTGACAAATAGATTCATTATCGCGATGAAAAAAAAGTTTGAACCTATCTTTTTATGTCAGACTTGTTCTGATTGGCTAAAATTTGTTATCACATTTCACGATATGCAATTAATCGTAGTACTTATGCACGATCTCGATATGTAGCTAACTAATTACATTAAGAGCGCCCTTAGTCTCTAAGTTTAGCGATTATTTATTGATATAATTGGTCTAAATATTAATATGGGCTGTTCACTTCTCATTTAGTTTCTTACCCACATTAATCTATATAATTATTGTCGGAGATGATGCTGAAATTTTGACTTATTTTATTATGAATTTTAAAAAATTTTCGGGCCTTTTCGTTAGGGGGTTTTTTTTAGGGTTAGGTTAGAGTTTAGGGTTAGTGTTGTTAGTAAAAAAGTATATGTAAATTTTAGTAGGTTATAGATTTAAGATTTCTGTCAATAATACCATATTACGGTTTATGTTTTTATAGCGCTAATTATTATAAAAATCCTAATTAAAATGTTGTATCACATCTCATTGATCTAAATTCATTTTTGAGTACATCGCTTACGAACTACAACTCTAATGATATATAGTATATTTGATATTACACAAGAAAGTATGACCCACTATATATATGTATATATATATATATATATACCAAAAAACAAGTCTTTTGTAATGATCAAAAGTGCAAATTATTTATCATTATAAGAAATCGATCGGTCGATTTTGATTAGCTTTAGCAGATTTTTTTTTTTTCATTATTGGCCAAGATAACTAATTAATTATTTCTCCGATCTAGATTTGGCCGTTTTTTTGACTTTCTTCCTTGGTGGTTCGGTTTCATCCGACGATGATCCAGCTCCAGCGTAATTCTCATCGAACTCTTCAGCAACATCACTATCAGTATCTTCTAATTGAAAATCTTCATCAACTAAAATGAAATAAATTGATCATATTAACGATATATCAATAAACAACATAAAAAAAAGAGATAAATAAAATTCTTTTCTATTTTACCAGAATCTGAATCCTCTCCATCGATCGGCATTGATTCGCTTTGGCGACGTTTAGATGCCGGAATCATTTCTTCATCGGATGAGCCACTAATATCGTTAATGAACGTTTGTATTGTTTGAGTCTATAGAAATAAACACAAATATGTTAAAATTAATATTAAGACTTTAATCAAAGATAAAAAAAAAAAGAAAAAAAAACTTTGCTTGTACGTCAGAGGTATCATTTTCAGTTATAACTTTCTTGCTGCGGAAATATTCTTCTAAATGTTCAAATTCTTCTCTATGAACAAATTAGAATCGTGTTAAATATTTTAAATTTTAAAATATAACATTTATTTATTGCCTTATGAATTACAAACCTATTAATACTAGAGAATTGGTACTCAAAATTGCCCTTCATTCTGAACTTTAAGTCAAAAGTTCTTGCGGATGTTATAGGAGCCTTAACAGCAGTAGCAGATACTCTGAAAGCATTAAAGAAATTAAACTCTGAATATAAAAAAAAAAAAAAAAAGAGAATGGTTGCAAATACATATTAAGGTTAATATCCCTTTACCTGGTGAAAATGACCTTTTCGATTTCACTAGTCTTGATCAATGTTGGTGGTTTGGGTATAAATAAGAAGCATTTTTCAAGTGGATAAAGATAGCCTTCATTCGCTTTAAGAGAGCATTTTACTGCTACTTCATCATGTTGACTTTAACCAAAGAAAATGTAATAACGAATAAGCTCATTAAATTTCGGTAGAAATAAATGCTTGCATGATGTGAAGACAAACCTTTTAAAGCTCGAAGGTTTAATTATTTTCCTTTTGGTCAGCACAGAGAAAACTATACTGAAAACATGATAGATTTCTGCATCATATGAAGTCTCCAATTTACCTCCATATTCTTTTTCAATTACTTCACTAATTTCAATAATTTATAAATTAATATATAAAAAAAGAGCAATGAATAGATGACAAACAATAAAGTGATGAGATACGAACGCCTCGAGGTTTAAATTAAACTCCTTTTCTTCTTCTTTTTTAAATTGTAGGACAAGGAAAGGGTAAAGTGTTTGTCCTTGTCTTAATGGCGGATCAAGGCCAACCTATAAAATAGAATTATTAATAAAATAATAGTAATTACTTTCAAAATTATACTATAAAAAAAGAATAAAACATAATAAAGAAAAGAGACAGAAATATTACCACAAACATTTCATGAAGATCATCAAGTTTTGGCAATAAAAACAGACTCCCGACACTAGAATATTGAACTTTATAATCATATGTTTTACCACGTAATCTAAAGAAACTGGAAAACATTTCAATATCGTATCGACCACTAAATATTTAACATATAAAAATTAGTTAAATTATCATGTGAATGAAATGGCAATGCAAGAATTTCTAACAATATCGTACCGTGGTGTGAGCAATAGAACATCATTAAAGAGCACAATTCCTTCACCGGAAACTTGAGTAAGATCAGCCTTTTCTCTAACTTCCTCAAAGAATAACTAAAGCGTAAAAATATTTTTTTAATATTCACGAAGAATCATTTAAATAGTATCAACATTATTTACTCACGCTTGCAAGACTCATTTCCTCCTCTTCTTCTTCTACTTCCTCACCAGCTTCATCCTCAGTTTCACCATCTTTTACAACTTTAGTTGAACCTGGGATGTAAAATCTCATTTCAACGAGTTCATGTGTAGGATTTCTATGATTCCTACTTTGTGATTCTTCACCAAATTGTTCTGGTTGCATAAATTCGAGACTGACTTCACACTTATTTTGAAGGTTAGTGTTTGAAACATGTGATAGAGGGATCTCGAAAGAGGTTTTTTTACTAGCGTTAAAGAGTAACTGAGAACCTGTAATTTCAATATGCAAAAAAAAAGATTTAAAAAATTTTTTTTTTTTGTTCAAAATACTTTTAAAAACTTTTAAAATATACCTTGAAAATCAGTTTCACCCCAATTCCACCCTTTAACACATATCTCTTTTGTTTCTAAATTTAATTTATAATTTGTCCGAATAATTTCTCTTAGTGATTCAAAATTCTGAAAATTTTTTGGTTACAAAGATGAAAAATGAGAGAATTAAAAGCATAGTTCAGAACAAAATTTATGAATACATACCTCCTTGGGAAAACCATCAAATCTTGCAGCATTCCCATTCTTTAAAGCAAATTTTAATTGATAATCTCTTGCAACACGCATCCATTGAACTTTTTTAAATTCTTCGGCAGAAATAGTTACTATACTTTCAGAATCAGGAGTTTTCCAACCTAAACCACTTGGAGCAAGCTTGAGGATTCCTGGAGAATTTGAAAGTCCATAGTAAATATTTTCAAATTGTTTCGATTTAGGTTCACTCATTATGTAAAATGCAGTTGAAATTGAAATGATAGATCGCGACGCGTTAGAAATATTGGAGTATATGGCGCAGCGATATTAATTAAACTGATAAATTACCAATTTTGTCAATCGAACGATTTTTAATTGGGGGTAACCGCTGCGATCGGTAAATTTGGCCGGAATTTAACTTTTTAATTTTTTTCATTCTAAATATAGGGCAGCCGGGCTGGGTAAAATCTTAGCCAATCACAATTGAGTGACAAAATTATAAAAAAAGTATGCGTGGTATGCGTGGTGTAACATGTCTAATGACGTACGTACGTACGTACGTATGTCTTTGATCTTACCTGTTACGTAGTGTCACTGCACTTGAGGGATCAAAAAAGACACTTTGGTAATCGTCTTAGGACGTTCTTAACTAACATTTAGCACTAACCTAACTATTAAGAGAGTATGGCTATGCAAATGCTAATGGCGTGCCTACAAAACGCCTGGTACTTTTTAAGCTAAGCTTGTATCCATGCCTATGTCGGTGCTTCGGGAACCCGGCATATACATGTAATATATGTATATTAATTTATATAATTACTGTATATTATAATAAATATGATACGTACGTAATAAAAAATTTACCGTTAACGTTAAGAGAAACCTAATTACTGTATTACAATATATGTTACGTACGTACGTATAAAACGCATCTATCTGCTATGGTGGTTTTGCGCCTATTATATGTTTTTATATATTTTTCCAAGTTTTTTAAGTTTGAATATAAAATTTTTAGATCAAATTTTTCATGATGGGGTTAGTATTAGGTTAGAATTAAGGTTTGGGAAAGATTTTTGGAGCGTAGAGTATTTTTACTTAGAGTATCGCATACTAATCAACTAGCTAGTTTTTAAGATAATCCCAAGAGGAAGAACCTCCTGGTAGTTTGATACTATAACTAAACTTATAAAGCTTATTGCAAACCCGTCAACCACTCTAATCGAACAATTTTAGTACCATTCAGTTCGGTTTATTAGGGTGTTTCAAAGTTAAAACGCGGAAATTTAAATTTAAATTAATTTTAATTGAAGATGTATTTATTTTGAAATAAGTGATTGGCAATCTGATCTTGTCTTCAATTTGAACGAAAGTTTTACTTTTTATTTATTTTTTTTTACAATTATAAAATCCCATTTCATTTTCCGATTTTTCAAACTCTCAAAATGCGCCACTTATTTGTTAGCTGAAACACGAACTGAATGATACAACATCAATCAATTCTGATTAAGACTTGAGGAAAGTTAGATACTATAATTTAGTTATTACACATTTTCTACGTATTTGGCCAATTCCAGGGGGGAAGATCAGCATAGTAAAATATAAAAAAGGTTATCTGATATAATGTAACTTAGTAGATAATATTGAATGTCGAGCCATAATACGTACTCCCAACCAAAAAACAATTTTTAGCTTGTCATAAATATCAAGTCGAATATTAGTTTATTCAATAAATTTTTAAAGCACCATAGGTGCGTTTTAGTAAAAGTGTAAAATAATAAATAATTGTATATCGAATGTTTTAAAAAAAAGTTATATATATTACGTAAAAAAAAAATAAAAAATATAATCTTATTTGTGTGTACGTATTTACTGGATTAATTAATACAGTATATATATATATATATCGAATTCACAATTGCTGATTACAGCCTTATTAGTCACCTGAATTAATGTAATTATTTAGATCGATTTGAAACACAATGACAAGAAAAGTTTATTTTATGTGTAGCTACGTAATAAAAAAGGATATCTTTGTTTTAAATTTAACAAAAAGCCAACTTTAATACGTATTTCGACAAATTTATGACTATATTACTATAAATAGAACGGTATACGGTACTAATTTTCCAGTTAAGTTAGGTATTTGAATTATAACCCTAAGTGCAGCATTTAAGACAATAAAAACAAATTGATCCATGTTCTATTTATCGGCACGTATTTCGTTAAAGAATTCAGTATCTAAAATATACGGAGACGCCCACAGTAAAAGCAGAAGAGTATATTATTTGCAAATTGGATTTCTTTGATCTCCTGGATCGATGCTTTTTATTACTTGCCAAGACGATTTTTGACTTATACTAAGTTGAGTTAGTATGATTTAGAAACAGGGGAACAAATATAACCAATTTCGGATAAGTAATAAATTATATTAAAAAACGAGCAATCAAAACGTGCAAGTTTCGAATGCTCCTAACGTTATTTATATAATTTATTACAATCGTGAAACGTGAGTTATTAATTATTTGACATTTTAAAATCCTTAATTTCTATTTTAAAGCTCCCATCAATTCCAAAATACGTTTGTAATGACATGCCTAATATAGGGTTAATGAACGCGATAATTAGTATTATATTAGGATTTTACAGCTTTAATACTTATTGACAATACTAATTGTCACATATTTGACCGTCCCTAAATAGTTTGGTCTACTCTTAACCACCAAGTTTCAAAATTTTACACCGCATAACTTGATAATACCTGATAATACCTGATAATTAACAATCGATATTACATACATATTAACTTCGTTCTTGGTATGTTGCACGATATATTTCTGATATCACGCATAAGTATTTAAGTAACAGATAAAGTACGTACGTACGTACCGGTACTGTACGTAATTTTTGGTACCAAAGAATTTAAAAAATCACGATAATCAAAAATGGTAGACGCTAATACGTATCTTAATTCAAATTATCCCTTTCCTGCTGTAAATAGAACTCTCATATCATCATTAGATGTTAGTAACAAAAACCTAATAAACACAATAAATTTAGGTCCATCAGAAAATTTTACTAATCTTGCAAGCTTAAACGCTTCACTTAATCAAATAAGTGGTTTCACGTTAGGAGAACTACCTAAATTGCAAAAAATAGATTTTTCTCATAATATCTTCACTTCTTTCGGAATAAAAAACGATGGACTATTACCTTCACTTGCAATAGTTAATTTTTCTCATAACTTTTTAACTGATGTTGGCCCAGGTTCTGTTATACTTCTTCGCCTTGATGTCAGCAGCAATGCATTAACTAAATTGGATTTATCAGCATGTAAGAACCTACTTACATTAAATTGCTCGGGTAATCCTGATCTTTCAAATTTGACTTTAAACTCTGCTTTTGACCCTATCGATGCGAATGCTTTCGATTGCCGTGGAACCAGTATTGGTAAAATTAATACTACTTCTTTCATATATGATTGTCAAACGGGTACTAGAATTAAATTACATGATACTTCTGCTACTACAAGTCCAGCTGTTGTAACTGTAACAAATGCAAATCAACAAATTCAATCAAATAACAATAATGGTTTGGCTCTTGGAGTTGGTATTGGTGTAGGTGGAATTATTTTAATCGCAATATTATCAATTATTGGATATTTGGTTTATAAAAGACGACGATCTAGAGATGTTATTAAAATAGCAGGAGGACAATATTATGAATGAAAGCACACTTAATATGGTTTATAAATAGTAATTGATATTGTTGTGTATGAAATATATAGAGTGAAAAGAGGTTTATTTTTCTGTCTTTGTAAAATTAATCTATGTATGATATTATTCAAAATTTATAGTATGCTATATCATTATTTGATTTGGGTGTTGTCAAGCGAATACCAGGAATTGTGAGTTTTCCGAAATTAATTTTACAGATCAAACCCCGAAAAATGTGATTTAACTCACCATATAATATATGTTGTGCTTAATTTAAATTTATCAGAAATCGGATCAGAAATCGGAGCAGAAATTGCAGGTATTCGCTTTGACGACACCATTTTATTTTATTAGTGATTAATTTATTCTTTGGGATTTTTGCTAGCAAAAATTGAATAATTTGTCATGTGTCGTTCGGGAATCGACATGTCATTTTTGAATCTCCATTGATTAATAAAACTTTAATTATTCGTGTCAAGCAAAAAAAAAATAAAATTCCTATTTAAGTATCGTTAAGTATTTTCCTTTTTTTTTCTTTAATATAAATTTCACTTCTTTGCTCATGAATCTCTTAAAAAAATACAAGATGCGTATACTGTATTAATCAAAAAAAAAATACGGTATGAGAAATAAGGCCACACAAACTTATACTATTGGTTCTCATAACCCGGCCGGGTCAAATTCAACAAAAGTTTGAAAAAAATTT